CCTCCCCCCACCCCCACCTCCTCCTCTTTGGGAATATCAAAACGCTCCTTTTTAAAATAATTAATCGAAAGCAAGTGGGTCCATTTTCGGATAAATTTGCGGTTCCTCGAAAGGCTGGTTCAACTACCTAATTCGCCGAGAAGTGGAATTGATTTTTTTTCTTCTATTTTTTGAGTCGAATGGCCATGTACAATGATTAGCCACAGTTAAGGCAGCAGCAGCAGCAGCAGCAGCAAGTGGAGTGGAGTGAAACGCGGAGGTGTTTTGCTCTTCAAACCAACAACTTTCGCCTTCAATGTGACTCAGTGCTTTTTAATCCCACCCCCCGCTTAATAGGACTTTGAAAACACGCCACAAGAGAGGCTGTAAAAGCTGAGGAAAAAAAATCTGCGATTTTAATTGTAACTAATGGAAAATGGGTGTCACGCAAGGAATCTCCCTTCTTTCTCAGCAACAAGCAACACTTCCACTCTTAAGGTGTTTTAGCCAACTCTGTTAAAGCGAAATTGACTAAAGGGGACTTCAATTCCCGCTTAGATTAATCAACAGCTTACCTGATGGAGAAATAACTTGTGCTATAAATCAAGAACGCACGAAAAAAATGCCACTGTAGAAAATTGAGAGGAATTTCAAAAATGTTGGTTAGAAAGAAAATTGAATTTGGCAAGATTGTGCCCGACTGTTTAACTATTTCAAGAGCTTAACAAATGGCAGGCATTTTTATAGTTGACCTCACTCCAAGCCACGTATCATGACCTTTCATTGTGGGATTATTAACGATTATTAACAACTGTCTATATCAAATGGCAGTCTTTATGATAATAATAATATATTATATCAAATGGCAGGCGTTTTGATTGTTATCATTAGTCTGGCAAATGTAAAATGGGGGTTGTAGGGATGGAGTGAAAAGTGGTTAAGATTAGCACCAAAATGTCTGCAGTCTTTTCCTCGTTTGATTTTTTGGTTATTAATTTTATTCAATGGAGTAAGCCCTGCTCAAAATTCCACTTTCATTAACCATCACTTGAATTTATATTCACGTTGTTCAGTGCTCATTCACCAATTCTGCCAGCTCGACTTTGACTAAAAGGGAATGATCTTTCCACAAACAAAGCATCTTGTCTAATAATTTCCACAATATGACTGATTTTGAAATTTTTTTCTCACCATTAAAAGTGCTCTATTTCTTTAATACCCATAACATATTATGTACCGCTTAAAAATGTTTATGCAACTTTTTAAATAGTGCTTTGAATTTTGTCGAGTGAAATGCAATTTGGTTTTGAGAAGAGGAGATGATGATTGATGAAATGACATAATTTCTCAACCCAACTGTAGGACACTGGATTGTACCTCCTACGGTGAACAAGGGGGGTGGGGAAGTGATGGGGAGAGAATTCACGGCAATGCCCACTTCCCTTCTCCATTAATTAAAAGCCAAAAAACTTCCCTTATCCCCTCATTATCTGTTTGCAATTTTTAAATATTAAGCAGTAGTCATTCTTAGAGTTAAATTATACTGAAAGTAGCCTCTGGTGTCAACAAATTGTTTGGCAAAATGACATGGAGATTTGATTCGGGAGTTTAAATACTTTTCTTTTCGATCTATTTGGTTGGAGAAATTTGCTGCAACCGAGTTACTGAGAAGATCTAGGAGAAGGCGATCCGATGCCCAGTGCTTCAACCGCTCATTTTGTGCCACACGAACTGCTAGCAGACAGAGATCGTCTCTGGACTTGAGGACGTCATCTGCATATTCCATTCCTTTTGTGGCCAACATTTGCAAGCATTCGCCTGTTACGCACTTCACAGACTTCACTGGATAGTCTGTGGGGTGAGCGATTGAAGATACTTTCATAGCACTTTCAAAAGCCCCAACATTTTTGACTAATGATTAGATATTTCCTGTTTTAAGTATTTTTCAACAGCAATTCTTGAAATACAAACAAACTAACGATTCAATTTAACTATCTTCATAATGTTGCCACCTTTTCACAGAACGAGTGGACAACTTTTCCAACATTTACTGCTAAGTCAGTTTATTTTGTCCTCATTTAATTTTTTCAGCCAAACAGAAATAATTTTTTTTGCAAAATAGGGCTTTTTTCTTTCTCGTCGTCGTCGGTTGAATTGGCGAAAAATGGAGAGATGGAGCAAAGTCAAATTTTGCCCCCTCCCCTCAAATATCCCTCAAATGTACCACTAATGGGCGAAATTTTACTATTAAACAATGCCAACCCTCATAGAAGTCCAACTAGCTGCAGGCAAGTACAATTGACCCAAAAATTGGCTGGGCTAAGGGCAAAGATAGCGAGAAGACAGCATTTGTCGTGCGCATGGTTTCCCTTTGGAGGTAGTTCGCGACTGGCCATTTAATACTTGACGATGCACGGATATTGATGCTTGATTGCCTGGATGACCTCTACACGCAGGCCCCCTCTCTCTCCCTCCCCCCTCTTCTCCGATTCTTCCACATTGTCCCACCGCGGTTGACATTTCTTTGGTCAGCGCGCTGGGGCCACTGCACACTCCACATTCTTGTTGATTAAAAAATATGCGCCTCTTTAAATACCGATTTCAATTTAAGCCAATTGCTTAAATTAAGCAAAAAAAGTGAAAATATTCTTATGATTAACGCATCACTACCATCTTCTCTAATATCAAAGATGCGGAAGTACAGAAGACCGCCGTGACTACCACCAGGCTCGAATCGACTTTTCCAAAGATCCAGGAGAGAGATGTATCTTAGGCTAATGGTAATAGGAGGGATTGAAGTGGAATAGGAGGGAAATGGATGAGGAGGCATTGCAGACGGAGAGGGGGGAGAACGCATCAAGTCGGTGAAGTGAAGAGGGCGAGGCGGGCATTACAGAACACTGTCAGTGCATTTTCGAGAATGAGGACTTTGTCCAAATATACTTTTTCAGAATCAGGTACACTTAAGTGACCTTTTCTTCACAAGTACAATCGTCTTTCAGAAACGCGTCCTTTTCGCTTCACTTGCGGATCTAATGGCTTTCTACTAAGTGAAGGCATTAGGCGACACGAAAGCATTACGTCCTTTGATCTGACGTTGGAAATAGTAAAATAGTTCAGATCTCGAATTAGTCATTTTTAAAACCTTTGTTTATTTTGAGGCGTTTAGTTCACCAGAATTCCTTGTTGAGTTCTTTTTATACTCAGAACCGTCTAGAACTTCGATTTTACCTCTTCTTGCAATAGTTTTACGCATTTTTGTGATGTTTTTACAACTTTATGGGATATTAAAGGTGATCGGAATCATCAATTTCATTGGAAAACAATTTAAAATTAATTTAAAGGTGAGGATCTAATTAAATGAATTCGGAACGTTTATTATGATGAATGAGCTTCACATCAAAGACTAAAATTTATTTATTTATATCATATGGCAGGCGTTTTGATAGTTATCATTAGCCCTTTAGTTGGTGGCAGGCGTTTTGATAGATATCATTAGCCATTTAGCTGAGTGGCAGGCGTTTTGATAGTTATCATTAGCAATTTATTTGACTTCGAGCTTCATAGAGGAGAAGAAGATCAAAATGAGAAAATGTCGAGAGGGTGGACAGTAGATTGATTCATTGATGCAAAAGAGGCAGGCAGACACAACGACAGAGAAAGGTAGGATAAGTACTGTTGAAGTGGTCGTATATGACATACAGTGGGGTGATGGTAGTTTGAAGTGAGAAGTCAACTGCCAGTCAATAGACTTTTTTGCCTTTTGAGTATACGTTGCCCAGGGTGCACCACGTGGAGGTAAGTCTATCGCATTCCCCTTGCGCGAACCTGCATTTTAGCAAAATTTCCTTACCTCCAAGTGCTTATTATATATGAAATTGAGTAAAATGGTCAGGTAGAAGGGATAGAGACTCATGACCTAAAAGCAAATATCACAGTTTCTTCTTGCTGGCGTTGGCTACTTATAATTCCTGTGAAAAGAAAACCGATCAACTCGGATACTCTCAAGCACCAGTTGAAATGACGCCGAATTAAATTCTTTCGCTTGGAAATGAGTAAGTGGAAATACTTCGAGCAAAGCGCGTCCGCAAAACAAAGGTTGTTTGCTTTTCGCTTGGATGAACAAAAACCAGTTGCCAGGCCTCTGCTTTTGCTATCGAGACATCGTCGAACACATGTCTGATTGCATTTCAGCCTCAAAAAATACGCAAACATGTTTTTCCCAATTTATGCATCTTCTGAGAATGATGAGAAACCGGTTTTTTTAAAAGAGAAATTTTATTGATCATTGCCCCGATTTTTCCATAACCCCCCCCCCACCCCCCACCCCGCCCCCTAAATATGAACAACTGTTTCTGCTTAAATTTAGAAAATTGTCGAAATTCCCCCCCCCCCCCC